CCCCCAACACCTAGAGTGAATTACTACAAATATTTTGGTCTGTATTTAGTCTTTTTTTCTTTGTATGTATTTTTAAATATACACATATCCATACATATTTTAGTTTTTTATAGAACTGAGATCTTACCCTAATATGGTTCTTTATCTTTTCTATTTGTTTTTTACTTAATGCTGTATTGTGAACATTTTTTCATATTATTAAAAAATTTTTAAGAACATGATTTTTATGACCATGTATTTTGTCACCTCTGTTTGAGGTGACATCCTTAAATTCACAACTAAGTCGTATGCAAAACAAAAATGTTATTTTTATATGTGATGTTTTGATAATGAAAAAACAGTCAGCTGTACCTTAATAGCATTAAGAAATTCAAACAGGAAAAAGGAAGCAGTCATCCAAGTGATTCAGAAAAAAAGTTCTGGAAGAGTTTTCTGACAAAGTACTTCAATTTTTTAAAAATTTGTTTTAAAAAATTTTCTTTTTATTGATTTAGAGAGAGAGAGAAACATAGACTTGTCCCATTTATTTATGCATTTACTGATTCTTATACGTGCCCTGACTGGGGATCAAACCTGGACCTTGGTGTGTTGGGATGATGCTCTAACCAACTGAGCTACCCAGCAAGGGCTTTCAATTTTTTTTAAGCTGTGGCTTCACATAGAAATATCTTTCCACTGTTTGTCCAGGTTTTAGTTATCAATGCTGTAACATTTAAACATTTAAAAATTAAAAGAGGGAAAAACCACCTAATACCTGTTTTAACATAAATGATCATTTAAAAAAATTATTTATATTGGATGAATGTAACATAAAACACCAATCTTTTTTTTAAATTCGGAAATGTCACAGGAGATGACTAAAAGAATCAAGTTCTTAAGAAAGAGAGAAATATGAGATCCAGAGTACAAGTGGTGAAATTCACTCGGATAGAGGGACACTTCTTCCACTGAACTAAGAAAGTTGCAAGAGAAAATGATTGCAGATTTGACCATCTGAAGTTGAAGCATTCCCCACAGATGTTTTCTCAAGTATGAGGCAAAGTCACCAGTTGAAAATGGGGAGAGGTGGGGGGAAAGGCATGTGAGTGATTTGTGGGAGAGAAGTGAAGGTGTGAATCCAGATAGCTTTTCCAGCCAGTGTTGAGTGCTCCTATGAGATCTGACGTCCTAAATTAAAACCAGCAAGCCCTGTTGTATAACTTCCCCAGGAATATTTGCTACTTGGTTGTAAGCAATGAGGTTTGTTTCAGCAGGGTTCAGTCCAAGCAAGGTTGAGGTTCTTCCAAGTAAGAAAGATAAAGAGACATTGGGAAAAGAGTTAAAAAACTATAAAAGGCTGATTACAAGAATTGACCAGGGAACCTAAGTCAGATGAGTTGGAAGTGATATGACGGGAGAAACAGGATAATCGACATTTTGAGAGTGTTGGGGTTAATGGACTGGAAGTCTGTTACGTCAGTGAGAATACAATAAATGAGCCAAAGTGAAAAGGAGAGCAATTGACAATCAGGATGAATGAGATTGAGATTTATAAGGTGAAACAGTTATTGATGACAAGGATCAGGTTCTTACCACAGGGGTGGATGTATTGGATGGAACAGAGGAACAAGTTGTTGGAGATGGAGAGGTCCAACATCTAAGAGGCCAAGTGTTGGTGCTGTGTGGGTCATCTGTAAGAATGTTGAATTTATACCCAATAGACAAGCAAAGATGGTGAGGAAAACCTAGAGCAAAGAGCAACAGTGTAATTTCTGAGGGAGAGTGGCCAAGAAGTTGATAAATGATAGTAGTAAAGATGGTAGGGGGTGATTTAGCCAGATAATATGAACTTCAAATATTTTTGAAGGAGGAATGAGAAGAAATAGTTTGGAAGTAGTAATCAGAAACAAAGAGGCCAAATTCTAGACCCAACCTCGTGGCCTTAAGGTACATACAATATGAGAAAAAATAGCCTCTACTTTGGAGATCTACAGCAGAGTCAAAAGCAAAGATTAATTTCATCACTAAAAATAGGGGTGCTAGGGACATACCTGGATGCCTCTATGATATCAAGTGTGATTCTGATAACTCATGAGTATGGATGATGTAGAAAGGCAGTCACAATGATAGCTTATAACATCCACCATGTTTCCTGAGAAATGTAGAAGCTGCAGGTAACCTCCTGTTGATAGTGTCCCCGGAAAAGAAAGGGAGAGAGAACGAATGAAAGGGTATGAAAATGATGTTTTTGCTCAGGGAATATTTATTTCAGGCATCTAGAATACAGTTTTTTGTGAATTATCTTTAATATTGGCCTAATGCTATGCCTATTTAAAACAACTTTCAGATGCAACGGGTGATTTTTTTTTTTTTGCTTGTGAAAAATAGGATTAATTATTGCCTCTAAATATTACACTGCCTGGACATTTTCTGGTGCAAAGGCCTTATGAGAAAAGCAGAGTTCCAGTGCGGTATCCTTGGGTGATTCTCTCAGGTGGTTCTGTGACTCCAGCATTGTACTCCACTCACATTAAGGTGAAAGAATATTGCCCAGCTGGGTGTGGCTCAGTGGTTGAGAGTTGACTTAGGATCTAGGCAGTTGGGGTTCGATTCCTGGTCAGGACACGTGCTGTGGTTGCTGGCTCATCCCCAGTGGGGGGTGTGCAGGAGGCAGCCGATCAATGACTCTCATCATTGATGTTTCAGTCTCTCGCTCTCCCTCTCCTTTCCCCTCTCTGAAGTCAATAAAGATACATTTAAAAAAAAAAAAAAAAAAAAGG